GATCAAGTAAGCTGCTGCTCACAAAAGCTTATGCCTCTCTGATTTAGTTAGTCTCTAGGGTTTCTATCTGAAGTCGAGGAAAGAAAAGAATGGCTTCTCATGATGCATGGTGCAAACACCATCACATGTTCACAGACAAGGAGAACCCTGCATCTGTCCTGTCCCTGGCCTTGCCCTATTTGCATCCAGCCTGATTGCAAACCTACTGGACTCAATGGCTTGCCTAGGCTTTGGAGCAGACCCTTGCTTTGGTGTTGGAGACAAGTTTATGATTAGGGGAGGATGTCCACCAGGAACCCTGTCCTCTCTGGGCCCTGACGGACTAAACAGGACTTCTGGATTCCCTGGGAAGTTACCCTTGAGGGTACTTATTAGCTCTCATTGTTATCAGAGGGTCTCTTCTGCCTTCCCCCCCTGCAGTATTTGGTTTTAGGCAGTGGAGCGATTGTGAAGCCTGGCTGTGGTAACTGCAGAGCTGCCAAGTTAAATGGATCTTTAAAACATTTTTTTTTTTCTTTTAAGCGCAAGAGTTGTTTTGAACTGTTTCAAACCACAGGTCTGGCGCTCTCTCTCTCTTTAACACAGGGTGCTGTATTTTTATTCCTCTACTTAATTTTTTTGCAGATGAGCTGCGGTCCTGTATGTTGTGTCCAAGTATTTTGCAGCAATGATGTCACTTCTGTGAAATCACTTCCTGGAATGAAACATGCAGACATTGGTTTTGTCACTGCAGCAGTCTATTTCTCACCTACAACTTCAGTGTTTGACTGATGCTAGGATTTTGTAATGTGCGGGACCAGCTGTGCTCGTTTCAAGCAGGAAGTCTGACCAAATATTTCCTCCCGGTTTCTACATAGATGAAAATGAGGTGTAGGCAAAGTGCCTGTGTGTGACTTCATCTTGTTTTTGATGGCAACATTAAGCATGTACTAAACATTGCTTAAACCTTTTTCAAAACAAAGCTAACAGCTTTTCTGCAGTATCATTTGGTGTTCTTTTTCACATAAAACAATATACGTCTGCCAGGCCAACAGACTGGCATTAGTTTAAGGGGGTGTTGCCAAGTCAAAACAAAACTTTCTTAAAGACATCTTCCTTATCTTTGTTGCATATATTAGTAACAATGAAAAGTGAAAATTAAAAAAAAAAAAATGACAAAACTTTCTGGCTGTTGTCTAAGTTTTAGAAAAGTTACACTAACTGGTTTAACTTTTTACCTTTAAAATCGAGTTCTTTGGTGCCAGCAGCACATTGTGTTGGAGGCAAATGCATAAGAGAGTTTCAGAACAAATGTTTTTCCTGGTATTTTAAGATGAACCAAAAATTCATGGAGGCATTTTGATTCTGTTGAAGTTTATTTGTGACGAAACTTAACATTTGGACTGGCTCTGTTAGCTTTCTTTTAACTAAACTTTGCCCTTGCATTTTAGGCTGTTTTGAAAATGTCATATAAACATCTTTACCTTATATTCGATCATTTTGGATGAATGTTGGATGTTGCCTTGTGATGTGGGTGGAAAGAAGTCTGGATGTACTATTATCTAATTGTACATCCTAGCTAGTTAAAGGAATGAGACACAAACCTACCGTATAAAGCAACTCATGTTCTGTCATGTTACATTGTCATAACAAATGGAGGGCCTCAAATTTTTCAAACATGCACTTCCAGTTTCATCATTAGCTTGAAATGAGTTGGCCGTAGGTAATACTTAGGGGTGAGAGTGGTGGAACAAAGTGTGCTCCAATTATGTATGTTTTCAGAGTTTCTAGGTGTATGTTAGGACTTGTTTGCAAAGAAAAATGTAACATTATATAATGGAATAGAGATTATAATGGACTGCCAAAATAACCTCTTGTATGGTTGTCCTTATAAATTAAACCTTCCCAACAGACCATACAGGTATAATTTATAAGGACAGCCACACAAGAGGTTATTTTGGCAGTCCATTACAATCTCTACTACATTATAAATTATACCTGTATGGTCTGTTGGGAAGTTTTACCCATGTAGTCATGCCCTTAGGAACCTAAAAAGAAATCTTCCTATCCTCAAAACTGTGCCCATGTGTAGGGGGACAAAAGGACCTTAGACCAAATTCAGTGCAGATATAAGCCTGAGCCCAGTCTTGAGTGTTGGCCACTCATGAGGCATTTTTACACATGTATGCATCGCAGTGCCAGGCGCTTTGAAAATCACCCAGCACTGTGACACATGCAGTTATATAAGTGGCGAAATGCACGCAAATGCTGAGAAAATGGCGGCGCACTTTGAAACTAAAACACCTTGGAGATGCTTTAGTTCAACAGCGCACTGCCACCATTTGCTGTGCACTGATGTGCATTTTACCACTTGTACACCTGCACGTGGCGCAGCTCAGCTCTTCTCAGCTGACTTAGATTAATCAAGTCTGCTCCAAAGCAGCGGGTCTCCGGTGTGTTGCTGGAAAAAAAGTGTGTGTATGAATACCCATAATTTCTAATCCTACATGTGTTGCTTGCGTCCTACGTATCTAATTAGGACGTAGGGTTTTTTTATTTTTTTTTATTCTGGTCTGTTTAAACAAACCAAAGTTCCTGTGGACCTAATACTTGGATACTTCTAGACTTCCCTTTGCCCCCCTCCCCTCCAATACATTTAACTCCCACTGAAGGAGAGTTAAGACTCACTTTTTTAGATCTAGAAGTTGTTTTGCTCTGCATTGCAAGCAGTCCTTAGGTGGCTGGGTCCCATTTTCACAAGCAGCTTAGGCACTAAGGCAGGGTTTGGTGGCCTGCGGAGCCATTGGATCCAGCCTGCAGGGCTGGGGTGCTTTGTCAGTATTCTGGTGATGGGGCTTTGGCAGCATTTGGCAGCTGGGTTTTTGCCTGTGCTGTGGCTGGGAGGAAGGAAAAACAGTGGTGGCAGTGGCCTGATGGTAGTGCTGGCCTGCTTCGGACCTGAGCTTGGCTGTTCCAAGCTAACAAGCGTTGCTGAGCGCTGCACTAAGGGAATGGATCGATAAATTAATTAAACCATAACGAGGGGAAACTAAGCTGTTGTGATTTAGCTCCAGTTCCTTCAAGGCAAAGGTGCCCTGGTTGGCATCCACTTACTGCAAGTTAGAGCAGACACATGAAACAATACCGCAGCGTACCTAAACTCTGCAGTAAGACCCTCCACCTCCTTGGTATGATCAGTATCATGATAGTATAACTCGTTATAATTAGTTTGCCCATACGCTTTAGCTTTTGAGCGCATTGGTGGCTGTAGCCATGTAAATCATTTCTGTGTTGCAGTGCTCAACAGAACTAGGCCCAAAGACCTTTAGGAATTGGGACCTTAGGCTCTTAAATTTATTTAGATGTGTCTGATACTGTTGCCCAAAGGCTTTAATGAATGGTGAGCCAAGCCAGGAAGTGATCTTGCATGCTTCAACCTTGAGGGAGAATGAGAGATCAGATGGTCTTTGTAATATTTCAGGTTTCATTTATGGAGGTCCCCAGAGGGCCATATATGATGGTGCCTTGTATTTATTTCATTTCCTCTGGTCTAAAATCTGTGGCTATAGAATTTTTTGGCAGCAGTATCTTGCTCCAAGGGCCTTGTTTAACTTCCCTTTAATACCACGAGCACCTGCTGGAATATGGGTTTTGTGGGTGTGTACAGGAGGTGGGTATTGGATGTGTATGGATTTCATAGACATTTGGGCTGGAAGGGACCCCAAAGGATCATCGAGTCCAGCGCCCTGCCCCAGGGGCAGGAAGTCAGCAGGGATCATAGGATCCCAGGAAGATAAACACCCAAATGTGTCTTGAAGGCGTTCGAAGTGGGTGCTTGAACCGCCTCTGGCAGCAGTCTATTCCAAACCCTGGGGGCTTGGACAGTAAAGAAGTTCTTCCTGATGTCCAGCCTGAATCGGTTGTGGTGGAGTTTGTGACCGTTCGATCTTGTGTTGCTTAAAAATCTTCAAAGCTTTAGATGAGTTTGCTCTTTACGCTTTTAAGATCATCACCTGGGTGTGTAAATAAATTGGAGGAGCACTCTTTCTGTTGCCTTTTGTGGCATTTAATCTTTAATCTAAAGCGGCGGCTTGATATCGGTCTTCTTGGCCCTGGAGTCTCCTACATTTTTGGTTCTCTGACTGGCTATAAAGGAGGAGCTCTGCTCCTCCTCTGGTTACTCCACAGTGTGTAGAGGTGTGTATCGGTTGAGGATGTTCGCCTGTGTGTAATCCTTGCCTCGCCCAGCCTTGTAGACACCTTAACTGACCTTTTTTCATCTGTAAGACTCTCGCACATGAAACAGTTTTAGCTTTTAACACCTTTTAGTAACATCTATAAGCTGCATCAGGGAATTGCATGTGGTTATTATGTTTCTCAATACTTCAAAGTCGCCAAGTTCAAGTAATTGGGTAGAAAGAATTGTCATATGTGCCCAACTGATTTAGACAGTTATGCTCATAGATTGCTTGCTTTTGAAAATTTTACCCAAGGAGCATTATCTGAGAGAGTTTAATCAAAATAGTCCTTGTGCTGGATTAAATACCACGCCTCTGTGGCTGAAGTGAAACCTAATTGCGTTTCAGGTTGTTCAGTTTCTTATTTGCAGGACCTTGTTCCATTTCTCTGGGTGTCTCTCCCCTTGGTCTTGCCAGGCATTGCGTTCTCTGGGCTGTCGCCCTCCCCAGCTGTGTTTGGCTGTATCTCCATAGCTGCTGTTTATGCTGTGATCATCATGTTCTGTATTCTATAGAACCATGTAGTCAAATGGAGGGTGAAGTAACTTAATGTGATGTGTGGTACCAGTCTTCAGCAAATTCAAAGACGTTTGAGAGAGAACAGCTCTAAATAAGTAATTTACTCGTTCCTTTGGTGTGTAGTACATTTGACTTTGTCCAGTTTGGTTTTGAATGCCTTCCGGGATGAAATTTCCTATAGGTGGGATGCAGTGGGATAATACAGTGACAGGAGGATGCTAGTCCTTGAATTTGTGATTTTATTTTATTTTTTTTAACTTCCAGAGGGGAAGAAAATGCAACAAGAGCGCTAGACTGCAACTGGGGACTTCACCATGGAAGACTTGGAAGGGCATCACTTCAGTTCAGTGGAAGAAGAAACTAGATACTGGAAAGAACTGGCGATGAAGTACAAGCAGTGGTAAGGGCAGTGTGTGTGATAGGGTGTGCGCACATTGCAGTCAGAGCTGTGGAGATGTGGTTGAGCCAGTTTAAATCCATTTGCTATGGGAAGCAAGAGTGGTGAAGGTGTGGT